TCAGCAGAGCATCACCTACAGAGGTGCGAAAGTATGAAATGACCTACCCACAATGCTATAAAAACACAAAGCAGTACAAAAACTTTACGGTAGTTGAGGGCTACACTAAAAGGTAATATATATATATGTATGTATGTATGTATATATATTTATATATATATATATATATTACTTCGTTTATTCATGTATTGCATATTTTGTTTTTGTCTTATATTATTTATTTTTTATTTTATTTTGAAAGGGATTTACGATGAAAGCATTAGCTTCTGTAAACCCCCATTTCCACAAACATGTAAAATATATTTGTACTAATAAGATAGATAATACATACTCCAAGTATCGAAATGCACGCCATCGTGTCGGGATTCAATATTTCGACATTAATTATGTCATCATCATTGAATCCCGATACGATGGCGTGCATTTCGACACTTGAAGTATGTATTATACTATCTTATCTGAGATTAATTAGTGGACCTTTCTGATATTTGTACTGTGTTTTTGAAAGAATGGAATTTGTACAAATAAAGTTATCATGGAGTAAAAAATATTGTTGTCGAGGGTAGATTCGTCAATGACGCTATATAACCGAGCAGACAATCCAAGCTTATCGAGTCTTCTAACGATTGTACGGGGACTATCGTTCATGTTTGCAATCCATGTTCAAATAATTTTTAGGACATCAACATCATCATCAACCTCATCTTCATTATCGTCATTATCATCACCATCAACATCATGACCAACAATATCATTATCAATTTCATCATCAACAAGAACATCATCATCACCATCATCATCATCATCAACATCACCTTTACCATCACCATAATCATCCTCATTAGCAATCACCATCATGATCAGTAGCAGCAGTTTTTTTAAATTAGGTGTCATGGTTTGTAGGTCTACGTATTGTATAAATAGGCCTACAGTATTATTAAATTCTAATCAATGTACATTAATTAAATAAAAATGAGCTGTGTAAGTGAAATTATTAATATAGTTCTGGATTCAAGGAGAACGTATAAACACTACGAGACGTTATTGTCTTCAACTAAACACGAAGTACTAAAACATTTTTTAAAACTATATTTATTATATTATTTCCCTTGCTTTAATTATCATCATCGATCAGGGCAAATATTATAAACTTGGTCACGTAAAAAACACTTCCAGAATAAAATTATCACTGCTGCAAAACAAACACTGCAACAAGACAACAGTAAAATGGTATAATACAAAATGTCACCGCAGCATAAAATTGTCACTTCAAAAGAAAAATTATCCCCGCATCATTGATTTAGTCACTGCAAGTTTACAGAAAATGTCACTACAGCATAAAGTTAGTCACTGCAGAATAAATTTGGTCACTGCAGTATAAACTTGACCACTGCTAACATGATGTTTTCCCCTGCTACAAAGTATGCCTACTGATGGCGCTCCATATAGGCCTACTATAAAATGGTGATGTGATGACGATGAATTTTACTATATAAAAGTGTCATTTCCGGTCAACTAGAGCTACTATTTCCTAAAATTTTCGCACCTCAGGCCCAACCATGGTGGCCCTCAGGTGGGTGTGGGCTCACAAAATGCCCCCCCCCCCACTCCTCAATTCAAAACAGATCTGCGCCCTTGTCAAAACCACGCCCCCACCCCCGCTTCGTGCTGTGCAAATCGCATTATCCACCCACCATTGCTAAATCCTAGATCCGTCACTGGTGGAAACAAATATTCGACTGCTGCTTTATCATCTTAGATTAGCAATGTTAAGGCTCAATATCTTAATTGAAATTATTGTGTAGGCACCGACTGATATAGACCGGTACTGTATACAATAAAGTAGGCCAATGGCTATACCAACGATACGAAATTAATTAGTGGGCTGGAAATCGAAAGCAGTATTAATGATACCGTATTATTTACAATTAAAAATACCAATAATGTTTGTTTAGACTGAACATTTCGTCTAAAAAATATTTATTTCATCTAAGATTAGATTAATATACGAAGTGACATTAACTATGTCTGGGCATTCTAATTAATATTGAGCTTCAATTTATATCCAAAAAATTCAACACAGGTTTTGAATCTGAGCTGAATGAGATTAATATTTTGGGGAAAGTCAGGTTTACAACATTTACAGAAAGATCAAAATTCGCCTTGCACATTTCTTGAAATGGATATGAGCGCTATATAACTCTTATCAAAATCATCATCAATATCACCATCATCATAGTAATTATTACATATGTTGTATGGGCACCCAGGTAAACGAAGTTTTCACGATAATACCTCTGGACCCCGGTAAAACCAACCAATTTCTAATATTGTGTCCCCGCCCTCCACCCTTTCACAAATAAGCTGGATCGCCCTTGGAATCTTAGTGCTCTATATTATAGTTATGTCGTTATCACCTGGTAGGCTTAGATCTGTCCATAACCTACATGTTCTTTCAGCCATAAATAAACCAAGGATTGACTATAATCAAAGTGTAATTTGGCAAGTAAGTGTAATTAAAATTGTGCACAGCATTACATCCGTGTTCATAACACATAATTGCATATTACTTATATCTCACAATAATACTTACTACGGTACTGTTACATCGCACTTGCCGATGGGTATGTGTATACCAACATGTAAAAGCGACGATGTCCCCCGACTTTGGTTGGTATAACACAATTATTAATGTTTTATTTGATATTATTTCAATACAAACATTCACTTTTTTATTCCTTTTTTCTGTATCCACCACAAAAAGGCGCGGTACAAAATATTTGTTATTCATTGTATTATAAGATGTTCCTAGCCCTTTATATTATTCATGGAGGAATAAACAACTTAATTTATCTAGATACACAGATAAGAAAACAATTTATCATTTTCGCAATAGACCTACATCTGTCTTATGCACATGAATTGTGATTTGGTCATTATTTTGAGTCCCCTCCTGTGTCCAGACAGGCCCGTAGCCAGGTTCTTCCAAGGGGTGGGGGGAGGGGGTTCTCTGGGCGTGAGGTCCACAGTCGAAGCCCCGGTGGGGTCGGCGAAACCCCCAATGCAAGAGGAGTTTTGTGCTTTATGGGTCTAAATAATGCTATAAAAGCATACATGTTTGAAAATGTCTGTGTCTGGGTGGGTCTGCAGTGCATTAGTTGGGTTGGAGGACTTAATTGGGAAATTTAAAGAGGGGGTTTCACCAGATAAAAGGGGTTTGCTACAAAAGGGGGGTTCTTCCGAACCATAAAATTTCCCCCCTGGTTACGGGCCTGCCAGATATAGCATTTTTAAACCTCGTTTCTATTATGACCTTAAATTTGATAAACAAGGCAAGATACAAGTCCCTGGCATAAGGAACCAACTACTCCAATTAAAACATTAATTTTATCAAACAGCTAAGTAGCGGATATAAATAAATACTCACAACCAAATAAAGAAATACAATACTTTGCTAGTCCTTAACGTTTTCAATGAGGATACGTGAATATGTATGAGTAATATTAATGAGTTAGCACAAAATATGAATAGAGATCTGATTTGAGAGCTTATAGTTACGTGTCTTTCGTTTATCGTTAACAATCCGTAAGCGTCTTATATTCAGTTTGAGGATTGTCGGCAAAGGAAGTAATATTGCTTAAAGCAAGGAACACGGTCAAAAATTGTCCATCATTAGATAATATCAAATTCAAAAGGTAAGTTTCTTTTAACTGGTTACTCGTATTGGTGGCCGACCTCTACCTTGAGTCCGTCAAGCTATCATTGACTGATCATATCGTATTGCATTGAATTTTTTTGGTTGGGGTTTTACCGCTGAAATCGAGATTTGAAAATACAAATTGACTAGCTACTCGGGATTTAGAATCATGACTATACTATATACAAGTACACAATGGATAACAGAGGAGACTCTCTTTAAGCTGGTTGGCTTGTTTGAGAAGGGGTCCCCAACAAAAACTAGATACAGTAATATAAATAATATAGTTAAGCATTAAACAAAAAAATGTAAGTATATGAAAACATTTTTTTACATATATATTAAAAAGGTGGTGAAGCTTGTGTGTCCAGGCTTATGCTTACCTACCCGCATATCAATTCACTTGAGTGTTTTTATGGTGTACTTTAGGTAGCAGGTCGACTTCCTTGTCTCGGCTTCTTTGATAGCCTATTAGGATTATTTATTATTATTTATTCCATTTTCATTGTTGTATAGTGCCGCTGAGTATGATAAAATCCTCCAATGTTGAGTCATGTAGTAAGATGATATGAACAATTTCCATGAAGAGTGACCAGCCGGGGAGAGTGACTGGCAGTTTAGTGTGTGGTCTTACTGCATTAATTATTGGTGCTTTGGGTTTGAAGTAGTAATGTATTTTCTTGTTTGCTGGTTAATTTTAATATATGGCAGAAAAGACTTTTCTTGCAGTTATACTCCTACAAAAACCAAAAGGTCCACTGATTAATCTCAGATATACTATATACATACTCCAAGTATCGAAATGCACACCATCGTGTCGGGATTCAATATATCTACATTAATTATGTCAAAATAGTTTTTAAAACTGTTTAGTAGGAATTTACACACATACAGTAAGGTAAAATATGCCTATAACTAAGATCTAGTAAGATTTTGTTTATATTTTTAATTTAAAAAAAAATCAGTCTATACTACCGATGTGTTATAATTTTTTATATAATTCCTGCAAAAAGTAATATAAATGGAACCTTTTTGCCTACATTCTTACTAAAGATTTGAGCTTAAATAAATTACTCATAAACACGGTTAGTTACTAAAGCATACATAATCTCCATGTCAATAAAAAATAATAATAATACACACTTCGTATCTGGTATTGTATATAAACTGAACCAAAACAGCAGGCGCCTTCAGGTCTTCCACATCATTGTCTGGTAGATAAGTTAGCTAGGCCACTGTTCTGACATTGTATACTTGGACATATTCATATTTCATAATTTGTTCCAATTTCTTATTTTCTTAGGTATAGGATGAACACTTCCCCCTACGTCAATACCTCTGATGCCGATGGAAATTCAAGTGGAAACTTTTCGATGGAGGAGCCAGTATGGGATGACATCATACAAGCCTACTCGTATAATCGTGCAGATCAGTTAGTCATATCCATATTTATGCCAATGGTTGTCATCATTGGAATTTTTGGAAATGTAATGACAGTTATTGTGATAGTAAAACACTTACGAACGGCCGTTAACGTGTATTTAGCAAATTTGGCAATAACTGATACATTGTACCTATTATTGGCGCCTGATTTGATATGGATTTCTTATCTTAAAAGTTCGGTGCATGATCTGTATGATATCGGTTCCGGAATACTTTGGTTTTGTAGATTAAATATCTACATTGTGGACACTACTTTACAAGTGGCAATTTTTACCATCTTCTGGATGTCCGTCGAGCGTTATATGGCAATCTGTCACCCTTTCCAGTTTCGGAAGAAAGGATTTGGAAAGCGTTTAAGATCCATACAATTATGCTGCATTATGTGGTTGGTAGCATTGGTATGGCAGGCGAGGAGCTTTGCATGGATAACTGAAGTTTCCTTTCAGTTACCATGGCCTGACATGTATAACGGGATTCCAAATTCGACCTCGGTGTGTGTTTATTGTCATTTTAATTCTGGAAAAAATTGCGATATTCAAAATCATTTGTTTGATGTGGATATTTTTCTATCATTAATATTTGTTTTTGTCATAATTGGTATGTATACCGCAATATTTGTCACACTCAAGAAGTCGCATTTCACTTCAGCAAATTCAACAGGTACATCATTGAGATTCAAGTCGGAGAAAAAGGTTTTGCAAACTGTTTTTCTTACAGTCACGATCTATATTATTCTTATGGCACCATTCCGATGTCTCAATATCTTCAATTCTTACTATGACATACACAAATTTATTCTCCAGACTGTGAATATATTTAGAGTTGCTAATTATTTAAATTCGTCGGTAAATCCCATTATATATAATGCTGTAAACGAAGATTTTAGAAAAGCTTTTCTAGATGTGTTTTGCTGCTGTAACTCGAAACCCATACCAGAAATAAGAAGAGCAGTCCCTGCAATCACTTTAAACTTGAATCCCGTTTAGGCTTTCAGGTATTTCAGGACTTGCGTCTCTGGTACCGTACCCCGGGGTTTCATGTATTCCCATTCGGAATCTCATGGACCAACAATTATTGTTATACCACTTTGGATTTACCATTTTTTATGACATACCGGGGATAACATTAATGATGTATTTATGTAATTATCAAATCACCAACGGAGGCGGATTTGCACAACGGGAATGGTTTAGTTTCCCAACCTCGAGGTGGGGGGGTTCAATCGCTGTGCATTTCGGTCGTGTCCATGAGCAAGGCATTTTATCTGCATTGCTTCTCTCCACCTAGAAATATAAATGGGTACCTGGCGGGGTTGTCTGCTCCTGCGCTGTTACCAGCAGCATCAGAAAGTCCCATTTCCAGGAAAAAATTTCAATAAAAAAGATTTTTTTAGAAAAAAAATGTATATGCATTATAATTATCATAAACCATGGAAAAATAGTAGCATAAATATTAGTTCAAAAGGATAAAAAGAAAAAGAGAAATAGAGACTACTTCTAATAAAAGATTCCATTTTCTCAAGTTTTTGTGCTTCGCATCTTGCACACGGTCGATCGAGTAGGCCTTAGATATGTTTGTGTAATTGTCAAAATCCCTGTCAGAGCGGTATTTTTAGTAACAAATTTGAAATAATTCCAATGTCAAGTGTCAATACTAGCAACGGAAAATATTATGTCGGCCGTTTTTATGTCTGATAACAGAACCCTATATCGAGGTAAGGCTAGGCCAGCCCAGAAGTGTTGATAGGCTAGTGTTTCCGGCGCCTATACTGTATATTTTTTAACAGACATATCGCAAAATCAAACATAAACAAAATCACCCGCGTTTTATCAAATTTCAGTCTTAATTTCCATTTTTTTTTCATGTTTAGGAATGTTTAAATTCAGTTAACTAGCAATTTCCTAATATATTTATAAATCTTTATAACATAGGCCTATATAAAAATCAGATTTTTCTCAACGGAAATTTGCTGGGAATGGGGCTTTAAAACGTAGACCCAATGACCAGGGAAAAGAACTGCGCTTAATCTGAAGGAGAGACGCGTTATAAAATGCCCGTGCCAGTACGAGTACCAACCTACTAGGTATCCACGTCTTCTAAGTAGAGCAAACCATGTGGAGTGTGTATGATGTAATAATAAAACATGTTTTGAGGCGGTTTTAAACATATTATTTGTTAAGAAAAGTTTATTGTTTTTAGGTCTATCTATAGGATAGAAAAGTAAGACTATGATTATTATTCTTATAATAGTTGAAGGAATTTATTTTTACAGTTATATGGCAATAAACTGAACTGGAACTTGAAAATCGTGTGGTTCACAAAACCGTTCATTTTGAATCAATAGCGATTACCACGCCGCCGAACTTGCTAATATAAAATCTAACATTTCGCAGTTGATACATTGACATGAACCACATCAGATAATTCATCGTATTTACTTCAACGGTACTATCATAGACAAACGTTACAGTTAAGTACGACAGCAACATTAACAAAACGTGGCGGAGTAGGCCTAGACAAATTCAACTCAAATATCACCGTACACTCTTTAATACATTCGTTCCACTAGGCCTATACATCATCAATTCATTGTGATCTGCACGATACATTACAATAATCACTACACAAACAAAAGTTAGGTAACGTTTTTCTATCATTGGAACCGAAATATATTCATTAACATAAATTAATTTAGATTTTGTGTAAGGTGAGCGTAGATAACTGTAATATACTGAGACAGCCAAATTTAAAAATACACGTTGCGTACTCGTTTCTCATGACATGAAACTTTAATAGTTAGACCTTTCAGTGACGTTCTGGCCACCCGTTATTCTTGTTCTTATAGGTCTACTTTTATTGCCAAAATCGATAACATAAACTAAAACAATGATGACAACTCATGGGAGCAGGCAGAGGAACCAAAAATTGAATTAAATCAATAAATAACAAAAGTTAATGTTCCCTACTCCCAACCCAACAATAAAAATGCAATAACAATGCGTATACTATGTATATTCTGTTTCAGTTTGTCGGTAGAAATAGACCTAAGCTGGTGGGTATCTAGGGAGGAGAAGGATACACATCTAGATGTGTATACCACCCCCCCCCCCCCCCAAAAAAAATAAGTTCCCCCCAGTCGCGGCCTCCCTCTCACTGAAAATGTTTGAAGCAAAACATGCTCAAGTAGTTAAACCACCCTATGTTGCGAACTAGCGCCCCTTAACTTAATCATTGACCCCTCATTTCACATTAACCCCCATTATCCCTCCTATCATCCCCTCCCTCTCCTATCATCCCCTCCCTCCCCTATCAATTTCAAGGCTCGTTTATACATTACTGAACCCACCCACCCAATCAGTCCACTGTTTTAATAATGATTAAATTATATGGAGGGGGCGCTTTAAACAGCTGAATCGAGCGAGAATACAGTCGGTTTTACGCATGGTTTTAGGCAACATTAGTCGCACACTTCGCAATCGCCATGCTTAGTCGAAGAGTAGGGGTTGTTGGCCTGGGATTTATAAGTAGGCAGACATTGCCTTATTATAAGTGGAATCGATGCATAGCTTCCAAAATATGTACTTCTTCATGTAATCTTAAAAAATGCAACATAGATCCACCGTCCGAGCTTTTTCAGCCTATGAATGTTCCTCACAAGTTGCTGACTGGGCCAGGGCCTTCAAATTGTCCGCCTCGGGTGTTAGAAGCATCAGCACTGCCGTTGTTGGGTCACTTGCATGCAGAATTTATTCAGGTAGGCTATCCTAGATGAATAGATAGGGCCTGCTGGGCAGGGGTGGCGTCAGGATTTGCCCGAGGGTGGGAGGGGATTGCGAGGTCCCCGACGGGGGGACCGATGTCCCCCGACGAGTCGTCAAATTCCCCCCCCCCCCCGACGAAGGGATCAAGTGGGCGTCGT